GACTCTAGCACACACTTCAGAATGAGCTTTTCGCTTTCTCGGCCGGATTCTGCCTGGGAATTGATCGCACCCATTTCAAGCTTTCTTGTCGTGCCTGTCAGTAACCCAGAACACCGGATGATTGTTCAGCAAGCATGTCTGTTCGGGTACCTCTGCCTGGAGCATCCACAACACTACCTGGGCGGGACCACCATCACAGCGAGACTAGTCCCAATTGGCCATCAATTGCAACTCAACCCGCTCAAGCACGAGTAGCATTTCCCCCGGGGAATAGCGCTCGCTCTCGACTTTCACGTTGATTTCTCATGAATGCCCTTTGAAATTCGCGATTGGTAGCTCAACGAGGCCGGACTGCCACATTTAAGATTGCATGGGGGTTTGCATGAATCAAAGCACCGTCAGTGTTCCCTTCGGCATGGCAGCTCATTTCCATTTATCGGTGTTTACAAGATTGAAGATCTCAGACTGCCAAGCAGATGTCAACTCTCATCCCCCGTAAGGTCGGAATTAAGACTCTATATACCGGTCTCTGTCACGGAACATGAATCTCAACGATGGTGTACTGGTGAGGGTTGAAGCTCACTCCAGGTTGGTCACGCAGATCCCAGCACTATCGAGATCGCCAGGCAGCAGCTCAGCTCATTGGGCCATAGCTCTCTGGCAGCGACAACTCCCGCGGCAAGAAGAAGGTAAGACTAGTGCTTTAGAATCCTCGCCGTTTGTACATTCGTTGTTTGGGAGCAATGGCGGGATGGGCGGTGCCGGGCGCTACTCGGAGCCGATCACCGGCCATGGTCTCCTTGGAGCGCTTACCGCTCGCAGCACTTGTGCTCTCACGAATGCCATTTTCCTGGCTTGAAATTCATTAGAGCGTAGTGGTGTTGTGGGTCCCGGTCATTCGGTGCCGCGACATACGTGCCGTCTCTGTTGTCTTACGAAGATTGTTGATCATTGAAGAGGCTGTACATACCGGGTCGGGAATTTTGGAACTTTGCGAACGCTGAAATACTTCTGCTGAGTTAACCTTTTTTCATTGCCCACAAAGTTTCATTACAGATTATCAAGGCCTGCGGTAACAGCCGCCACCGCCTCCAGCAGTTACCTTGAGATGGCTTGTCGAATTTCCATAAAAGACAGGGCCGAGGATCCCAGATGTACTTTTCGACGCGACATGAACCTCTGCAATAAACACCCACCGAAACCTACCTACACCTACGCCATCATTGACACCAAACACCGAAGACACCTTAGCCATGGACGCGTTTGAAGATTGCCCACCCGAGGTCCGCCTACGTATCATAGAGAGCATTGAAACTCGCGAGGACGTCTCGGCGCTTAGTCTAGCATCACCGGCCATTCTTCAGCAGTGTAAGGTCGACAGAAAACGAATCATACGCACTTTCGTGTCGCGGGACCTAGATGGGGAACATCTCGACGATGCCCTGGCCGTTATATTCTTTCCAAGATGCGACACTGGCTCGTATGGTCGAAAACTCTGTAATGACGCGCATTTAAAGAGGTGGGCTTCCGGTGAGCTTTCGATCCCTCTCGACGAGATGGACGTCTTGCTCCTTCTGAAGCTCGATTCATTCTGTCAACGAATTTGGCTTTTCATCGACGACTTCTTGTCCAAAGCAACTGCTCAGTCTCTTCCGGAAGCCTACAGGATGATGCCTAGAGTCCCCGCCAAGTCTTTGCGGCGGGGCTTTTCGTCCGACAGCCTTATATGGTCATGGCAACGAAGAAAGTTCGACATCAGCAAGCTTTCCAAACGTGAAAGGTGCAAGGTTTTCAAATCTTTTGTTCGCTATAAGATGATTTGCAAGATCTACGGACCCCAACGCAAGGAGCCGGCTAACTACCCTGGTGGCATTCCCCAATGTAACACAAACGCGTTTCGGAAGATAGACGTCCATCTTGGCCACTGGAAATGGAGCATTCTGGATATTTACAAGAAAGAAAGCGCAAATGTGGAGCATCTCGAGAACCTCGCATCCGTCCGCGAGTACATTGTTTCTCTACATTGGGGACTGATTTCTAGCGATCTCGAATTGCGACACAAACCGAAAATCAAATACCCAGAGTTTGAGAATTCACCGTCTCTCAATCCCAACGATCCTGTTCAAGATTCAAAATCTGATCTTCTCATATCGTTGATGGCCAGTTGCGGATTTGATTGTTTGACGAGCTGAGCCCCGCTGTTTCAAGCCATTCCTGGGAAGATTTTCGAAAGAAGCTGAAGAAAAGTTTCACGGTCGGATGCAGATTGGACTTTTTCACCCCTTTAAGGACTACCTCTGGCGTGTTGGTCCGGGCACCGACGAGCAGGCGTTCTATTGCGATGGCTTCAGTCGACTACTCAGGCAAAGAGCATCATATGTGTTTGAAGACGACCGTTTCTTTCCTAGAGTTGGAAGATTGCCCACAGTCAGCGAATATGAGTTCGCATGCCATCAGAAGGGTTTCAACCCTTTTCAGGGGCCAGATGGTGTAAAGCAAGGTCCGAAAGGATACCAGCACATTGCATACGGTGATGTATTCATCTCCCTCGGCCAGAAGCTGTCTCCTTTTTGGCAGTGAGACAAATCGAGGACAGGCTTACAAGTTCCAAAGTGAGGATACGCCGCGCCCCCAGTCCTTGAGCCGTCATGAACGCGTTCTTGGAGGCAATGAATTTTTTTGTATTAAGTATTGGAGGTAAAGCTTGGATATCTTCACCACATTACGTAGGGGCGTGGATGCACCCATACGATAGCCGGAGACCGAATTTCCATCAAATAAACTGTTCAGGGGCCGAAATGTTCCCCATATCGCGTTAGATACCAATCTGCACCTCTGAGAAGTGATCTTCGCTCAGTATGCCAAGCCTAGAATCCAAAGCCCGTGAGACAGCCAGATGACTTTAGACAGTTTCTCGGAAAGAAGTCCATCCGTGAAAGCCCAAGCCGGTTCCCAGCTGTCAGCAAGCTTCCCCAGGAGCTTGGTAGCAGGTGCCGGCAACATTTCCCTCCGTTCATTAGCTCCAAAAACCTTCTGCGTTGGGCGTGTTCTTTTTGAACCACGTTCGTCACATCCCTTCCTGTACAGGTAGAAACCGTAGGAATACCGATGACATGGGTCATTACTTAGGTCAACGGCCTGGCTGCGATCCGGTATCCACGTCGTTGTTCTTGGACTGCCGGGCATGTTTGATCCGAGCCCAATGGGTCGTTCCTACCAATAGGAGTCGATCTAATTCAAAAAATGTAAGCTATTGTCCCGACTTGGTCGTTGATGCCCACGGATCGGAGCTGCCCCGGCGCTAGTCCCTGGCGCACACTAGCTTGGGGTCAGCGAACAAACAGCTAGTGCCAAAGCTTGACGAGACCATCATTTTATCTGAGATGATAGCTGTCAAAGTCTCCTCGGAGGTCATTTGACCGGAAAACGGCAAAATGAGCATCTTCAAACTGGAGCTCGAGGAGGGGTTGGATTGACAAAGTCTTGGTCCTTAAGAAGGCTCTCATCGCAGGCCATCCAAGCAGGAAAACACCTTGTCCTTGACACTTCTTTCTTTCATATCAAGAACAAAACGAAGTCATAAACGCTCAAAAATGCATTACAAAACCATCTCAGTCGCTCTGGCTGCGGCCAGCAGTGTTGTCGCTCAGCGTCCAGCCGATACTCCAATTTGCGACTACTATACAACGGCCCTTCTCAAGAACAACACGGCCGAGAACCAGTACACTCTGTTAACTCTCCTAGTTAACACCGTGGTCATTGGAAACTGTGAGCATATTCCCCTGAGTTCAATGTTGCAGCAAATTCTTACAATTCTCAATAGACACGATGCCAAACGTCGGCGTCAAAGTTCCGGGTATTCTTGCCGCGGGCTCGTATAACGGCGCTGAAGTCAATCTTCTGCCATACTTCAACGGCGACCTGGCCTCGTCCAACCGCGGTGGCAACTCTGGCGTTTCCGTCAACTTCCTTGACGGAGGGGGCGCTGCGCCACTGATGAAGAACATGCCGGCGAACGACGACAAGTCTAATCAATAGTAAGAAGCCGTGCGACACCTTTGACAACCATGATGAGGCTAACAAAGATATTTCCCAGCTTCCTCTTGACCCATCTCTACCAATTCTTCGGTGCCCTGCTCGGCTGCTCCCAGTACGGCATGGCCGGCTTCCCTGGCTATGACGGACATGCATCCATGTACCAGGTTCACAAGTTCATGGACCTAGACATGAACGAGCTTGGATACTTTATCCAGCAGGTGGCTATGGCGGCTGCCTCCTTTGGCGTTGCTCAAGACGACCTCCAGGCAGTCGGAAAGGCCCTTTCCCAGCTTTTCGGTATGCGCTGCAGCCCGCCAGCCACTGCCATTCCTGCACAGGGACCCCAGCTCCAAGCGATCTGCATCGAGAACAGCTGCCCCATCTCGCCGAACTCGACTTGCGCGAGCTATGAAGCTGCTGTCGCGCCGAAGAACGCAACTGGAGGAGGTATGATGAACGCTACGGCTACCATGACCGACTCGGCCACGTCGATGGCAACGGCTACAGGTACCATGATGCCGAGCACTGTTCCCACAGCAGGTGCTGCAATCAAGGGCATGAGCTTGGCAGGTATCGTCGGTGTGCTTGCTCTACTTTTGTAAGATGATGAGAGAGAGACTTTCTCGTGGATTCTGGATGATCTTCTATGAGCTACCCTTGATACTGGTGTCATCAATGGTGGTGGCCAAGTAGCTTGGCGCCTTTGTTTCAACATTGCTTTGTACACATGTAATTAATTTGGAGGTCTTGGTGGCTGTGTCAGAGCAACCAGGCTTTGATTTCCATAGCTATGTAAATAGAAGTACCTCGACTTCTGTCGTGGAAGCTAGGTATTGGCCAATCTCCCTCTGAAGTTGTTCGATCCTTTGGGCATGAGCCCGTGCGTAGTGTGATTCGCCATTCAGATCTATGAGACGCCTTGATGAGAATCCAGGGACATCAGATACAAGTGTACGACGAGATCAGTGATTGTTGTCAGCCTCGGAGGACAGCTCCTTGCCCTTGCCCTCAGTGTCATTGACAGGCGTGTCGGGTTTGCTAGGGATGCTTGTAGCGGAACTGCCGCAAAGATGGTCAGCAATTGAATTGTGTGCCATTGAAAGGAAGAATGAAAACCAACCTGGTCAGGCCCTTGAGAGTCTCGACGACAGTCATGTTGTTGTTGATCATGACCTGGTTTTGGTGAATCATGATCATATTCTGCTGGATCAAATGATCGTTCTGCGCTCTGAGAACAGTGAGCTTTTCGAGAATCAAGTTCCGCATCTCAGGTGAGGCCGTCTGAGAGCTGCATCCCTCTGTGTAACAAGTGATTAGCGTGAGAAGTCAAGCCAGCTGCTGATTAGGGAAACACTGACTGGGAGTGTCCTTGGTGTCTGCGCTTCCACTCATCATGCGCAGAGTACTTGATGTCAAGTTCCTAAATTTCTGCCAGGTAACTGAATTTCATTTGTGTGCACGAAGTGGCCGTGAGAGGAGGTGAAAGAAAGACTGAGCCAGCTGTTTGTGAAGGGTGTTGTAGTTGAAAGGACCGCAGCGCGCAGTGAAGCTGGGCTTGAAAATTAGGCTGGGGGAGCCTTAGGGCCGACGTTGTTCTTCATTTTTGATGAGCCGAGTGAAAATATTTTCTTCCGATTTCTCTTCTGGAAGGAGTGCTATTCCGGGTTCTGGAAGGGGAAGGTGCACCTTCCCGAAGAAAAGAGTCCGACGTAGGCTTCCAAGCTTCAGTAGAAGCCTATCTGGTCACCATCCAGTGGTTTTAAAGCCTAAAATGACAAAGGAAACTGTTCTAGGAGATTCTTCTTACAGCAATTGAAGAGATCTTACTATTTAAATCTTTTCAACAATTGAGTGAAGCTATTCGGACTCTTGGTGTGTTACATCGATGAGCTCTGTCTTATTCAAACCAACAACCTTCAAACGGCAAAACAAACCACATTCGAAATGGCAAATATGAAAATCAACTTTCTTAGGTTATGCTGCAACTGACTTTCCACGCATATCACCAATCTGTCATTCTATCCCCGGGGTTTGGCGCAAGTGTTACTGACTGAAGCTTTTGTCTAGCTAGTCGGGTGTACCTAATACATCAAGAATAATGCATTCCTCTGTTTCCAAGATTCAACCAGTCTCCAGATGCCAGTCAAGACAGTAGAAATCAGGCAAGAACGCAGTCGTCCGACACGTACCACAGTCACCAAGTGGCCACGACAGACTGAGTAACCCATCCGGCCGCCGCCCGAAGCCCGACGGTCTTTTCAAGGCCGAGCCGTAGGCATCACCCTCCGAAGTGTTTCATCGACGAATTGCTTTTCCCCAAACTGACGCCGGCCACCCTACGGTCTTTGACTCAGGGCGGTCAATGCGGCTACCAGCCAAGCGCTGGCATTCCCCGCCGTGCTACTGGCCAGGCGGCATTCGGATCCGGTTTGTCGACGTCACCAAGTGCGACAGCCTCTCTCGTAAAGCCCGAATTGGACTCGGACTACGGACCTCAAGCATCGCCGAGGGTCTCTGTTCTAACGGCGCCGATGGCATCACCATTCTGCCGCGCATGCACCGCGACGCGAACCGGTTCATGTTGACAGGTTGTCGTCTGTTATTTTTTGAATTTGTATAATATTGGTGCTGCCCAGCTGGCCTGGTCGGGAATGTTTATGTTCTCGGTAAGAGCCTCGAAACTCATTTTCAAACTTTCCCCAACTCATTACATCACGACTATTCATCACACATGTCTTCACAATCAGCTCTCAAAGTCCTCATCGTCGGCGGCGGCATTGGTGGCCCTGCGCTCGCGTATTGGCTGGCGCAGCTGGGTCACGATGTCACCGTCGTCGAAAGAAACCCGTCTCTGCGCGCCCAGGGCCAGCAGATTGACATCCGCGGTCAGGGCGTGTCCGTGATCCGCCTTATGGGCATCGAGCCTGAGATTCGCGCAAAAGGCGTCGACGAGGCAGGCCTTCGCTTCGTCGACCAGAACGGCAAGACGGTGGCTACCTTTGAGGCGAACAAGACCGGTACCGGCAAGCAGAGCTTCACATCAGAATTCGAAATCATGCGCGGGGACTTGGTTCGCCTTCTCTTCAAGAGCACAGATGAGCTGGGCGTCAAGTACATCTTTGACAACTCCATTGCGTCGTTTGAACAAGATGCCGACTCGGTCACTGTGAAACTGAGCAACGGTCACACCGACAAGTATGATCTGGTGGTGGGAGCCGACGGCCAAGGCTCGAAGACCCGGAGACTTATGCTCAACGGGGAAAAGGACCCATTTGTCCCGTTCAAGCTGCACTCGGCGCTGTTCACGGTGCCGAGGGAGAAGACCGACGACAACTACGCGACGGTCTGCGTTGTGCCCAAGCAAAGGATGATGATGAGGAGGAGCGACAACCCCGAGACCAGCCAGGTGTATTTGGGTCTCGTGCCACAAGACAAGGAAACCGACAGGCTTCTTCAGGAGTCCCAGAAGAACCGCGACCTTGACATGCAAAAGCGGCTATGGATCGAGCTCTTCAAGGATGCTGGCTGGCAGACGCCGCGATTTATCGACGGGCTTGAGGCGGGGGGTGTGTCTGACGACTTTTACAACTTCCAAATCGGCCAAGTCAGGATGGACAAGTGGTACAAGGGTCGCGTCGTACTCCTCGGCGACGCAGGCTATGGGCCGAGTCCATTGACTGGCAGCGGTACGACGTCGGCATTTGTTGGCGCGTATGTCATGGCCGGTGAGATTTCGAAGCACTGCACCGGCGATTCCGCGAAAGCAGGCGTGCCTGCTGCTCTGGAGGCGTATGACAAGACTCTGCGACCGTTCATGAAGACCGTCCAGGACATTGCGTGGCGGCCGAACTTGCTGTACCCCAAGTCGGCGTTCGGAATCAAGGTCCTCAATACCGTTCTCTGGCTCGTCTGCACTCTCAAAATCGACAAGCTGTTCCAGAGACTGCAGTCGGACGATGTCAAGGGGTGGGAGCTTCCTGACTATCCTGCGTTGCCGGTGAAGGGGACCAAGAAGACTGCGTAATGGTCATGTAAGGGCATTTACGATATCTCTCAGCCGCTTGAGATGCGGACGAGGTTTTGTGCAACTGAATCTCTCAGATCCATGAGTTTCTCGGCGTTGTCATCGGAATACTGTGATCGATTAGTACCTCGGAGTTATTAGGGAATGGAGAAGCTGGCTCGAGGTTTAGGAACGTGCGGAAAAAAGGCGTGTCGTTGGATTTTGCTCATAGGTAGTGTTCGTCTTATGAATCTGGTTCTACATCTCTCTTGTCCCGAACCTTGCAGCGGATGCAGGATGATAAACTTCCCGTGACAGCCGATTGCTACCCGGTAGATGTGCAGCACGCAGCATCGGGATTATCCTCCGTTGAGATCAAACCTAGTTTGAGGGTTACAAGTGGCAGGGCGGCCTTGCAATCATCGTGGTTGGCGTCGTGGTTCCAGTTGCGAGAGCATAGGTGACGATGTCGGTCAGTCACGTCGTGGACCACACCTCATCACAACCGAGGTCTTTATCGTATCTTGAGTCAAAGGAACAAACAAAATACTCAAATCGGACATCGAATGTTCCATAACATGGTTGCAAAGTTCACTGGTCGCGTCATATCGCTCTCCAGTTGTGTGCAAGAATTCGGCTGCTGAAGTTGGGCGGTTCTGAAATAATTCCAGCTCGCAGACGGTCGCAAGTGCCCCCAGCTGGACTTTGGAACGCACGGACCCCACTTAGACATGAACCGTGCGCTCCGGACACGTCAGTGACAAAAAAAACAGCGCTTCAACATAAGTATCATACGGTGCACTATTAGGGTAGATCTGCTAACCGCTGGTTTTGGGGTTCTGTAGACGAAAGTTAGGCTAACTTAACCCTATACCTCATTCAAATTAATTAATATAAATTAAAGTTAACCTAACTTTAACCTTATAATTATACGTAATTATAGGTAAATAATTATAATTATACCTAAAGCTATTCCTATCCTAAAATAGTAATTATAAACTTATAGCTCTATCCTAATATACTTTTATTACTTATACCTTCTTATATTACTTTTTTATCTTATCTTATACTTTATTATACTTAATACCCTTTATATACTTACTTTAATAATAAATTATTAATAGATACTCCTTATAGGATAGAATTAAATAGCTATTTAGTCTAATTAGTATTACCCTCTACTAATAAAACTAATAAGTCTTTAGAACTAATAATTCTAGAGGGTTACTATTTAAACCTTAAAAATAATATAATATATTATAATAATTACCTTAGTTCTAACTTACTATATCTTAATTAGAAGTACTAACTTATATCTAAAAACTAAATATACTAACTTATATATTAAAACTAAGTATATATTATTTATCCTCTCTTAACTAGCTTATATCTAAAAACTAAGTATTATTTATTAAGTTATAGTTATCTTATAAAAGTCCTTAAATTTACCTATCCTCTATTTACTAATTATAATAAGGTTAGATTTAAGATCTTATTAATCTCTAGTTTATTCCTTAAGATTAATTTAATAGATTTATTCTATTAAATTAATCTTTTACTTTTTTAATTAATTTTTTATTTTACTTTAGTTAAAGTAAAGTATTACTTCTAAAGTAGTATTATATCTTTAGAGATACTTTATATATACTTTTTATATATACTTCCTTAATATTACTTTATAATAATATAAATAATTATAAAGTATCTACTAAAGGAATTATTTAGATATAGAAACTTTAACTCTTTATAACTTTATAAGTAATTAACTTTTATAGTTAGTAATTTCACTATTAGAAAGAGTGAATTAAGGTAATTAAAATAATTAAATATCTAACTATAAAAGTTATCTATAGTAGGAGATATCTAGGAAAGAGGTTTATAAGTAGGATAGAATAAAGTAATCTTTCTATTTAAAAGCTTCTCTAGATATATTTATCTAAAAAGAATACTCTCTAGCCTTAATATAAGTATAAGTTAATACCTTAAGAGGTTAAGTAATTATATATAATTACTTAACCTTAGTCTAAGCTACTTAGAGTAATAATAATAAGGATAATAAGAATAATAAAAACAATAAGGATAATAAAGATAATAAGGATAATAAGGATAATAAGAATAGTAAGAATAATAAGAGTAATAAAGATAATAAGGATAATAAGGATAATAATAACTATAAGTAATTATATATAATTACTTAGTTTATTTTATACTAGCTAGAGAGTATTATATAGTTAGGTTATATAAAGAGAGCTATAGCTATATTATAAATTTAATTAAGAGGCTAATATAGCTTCTACTAAGTCCTTATTATACTTCTTAAGAAAGTCTATAATCTTATTTATAAATTCCTATAGTATAATAATATTTACTAACTTAAGTAGAATTATCT